TGGTGATGTTGTCAGTGTAGAAAGTAGTTGAGATATAGGATATAGAAGGAAACATGAAAAGACTTAGTAGACACATGTTCCTCTCTTTTAACAAAGGTATAATAGAGAAGGTGAGGTGCAATATTAAAATAAGTTTTTAAAAGTGTATCTTCAGTCTGATGTTAAGAATGAGACATTTTTCTTGCACAGAGATTTTAAAGTACTCCTTTCCAACAAATATTGATGTACTGAGCCTTTCAAACCTTACAAGAAACTAAACTATTCAGAGCCGGCATTATCATTTTAGGTTCACAGCTATGTGAGATATCACACACTATTGGTAGTGGCAAGGTATTAGAAGTCAAGGCTCTGTGTGCCAGTCTAGAAGCTAGCTTGCTGTCCTCAGGTATGGCAAATGCTTGTTTTGTTGCCAGTGCTGAAGTAAGGTTCAGCTGTGAGTCCAGCTTGCTTCTCAACATGGACTGGAGAAAGGCCAGCTATTTGTCCTCAGTCGCAGGCAGAAAAAGGTCTTCACATTATATTAATAAGCACAGTGTAAATAGGAAGAATGAAACATTCTTGGCATAACTGTGCTCTACTATCATTCCAATCCCATATCTAGCTGTGCACAGAACTGGCCCAAAGTTATCTGAAATAATATTGTTCCATGGTCCACCTTTCCTTCTGTCCAATACTGTCCCAGATCTCCTTCTATTATCTGAAATAATATTGTTCCATGGTCCATATTTCCTTCTGTCCCAGATCTCCTTCTTATAATTTACCGTCAGTTGGTTTGGGGCTCCTTGGGAGCAAAAGAAAAGAATGATTGATCATCTGTACCAGTAGTTACCTAAAGTTGGGAACCACAGGTAGAGATGATGGATCAGTTTTTATTTACTTACTTTTTGTTCCCAAGGATAGCCCTCCAAACCAACAGATGCTAAATTACAAGAAATTGCAAGTCCCAGAAGCCTTCACCACCAGCTGTGCAGCTGGGGTTCCTGGGAGTTGCAGTTCAAGAACACCTTAGTTACCCAAGGTTGGGAACTGATGTCCAGTGGTCCCCAACCTTGGCCCTCCAGATGTTCTTGAACTGCAACTCCCAGAAGCCTACACCACCACATGTTCTGCTCAGGATTTCTGGGAGTTGAAGCCCAAGAACATCTGGAGGCCCTAGATTGAGGACCACTGATGTATACAATTAAGCTTTCATACTTAATTGTATTCTTAGTAGTCTCTTCTTCAGGCTAAACAGATCTCCCACCTTTCACCTTTCCCAAAGTGAGAGATGGGACAGATGAAGTGGAGATGGCTAAGAGAGAGGAGAGACATTGGGCAAAAGGCAGTTTAACCCAGCTTTGGCCCCAAAAGAGTTGCTGAATTATGGTTCTAGAGCAGGAGATCAGGGCAGCTGTTGAGAAACGGGAAAATTAGGCATTGCAATTACTGTTTTACAGTGAAATGCTATTTATTATTTCCTCAGAAGCAACTCCCATTGGGTTTGATCCAGCAAAGGTGGGTACAGGACTGCAGCCTTTGTCTCACATACAGCAACATAAAGCAGCTAACCAGAAGCGAATTCCATGTAACTTGTATAAATACTGGGACTTGTGCTTCAAAATTCTTTGTAAATCTAACATTTGAAAATCCAAAAGGCATCCAATGGAAAGGAATGTTTGTCCTACAGACCTGGTTAGTTGACAGCAGCAGCTGCTCTGTTCTAATAATTTTCTGTCGTTAGACAGACAAGAAGGCATAGATATTTATCTTTTACATTACTGATTTATCTTCTCATGGTTGGAGTTTTTGGGGGGCTTTTTTAAACTTAGTAAGAATAAATTGGCAAGAGACAAAAAAAATCTGGTGGATAAGTGAAAGTGCTTACAGTTTTCACGTTTTTTGCCTTTCCATTTGGCTACACACATTTGTTCTCACTGGTTTCCAGTGTCATCAGCAGTCCCAATAGCAACATGTTCCTGTCCACTGCTTTACACTTCCCAGAAATGACCCGTTCTACAACTTAGAGCAATTTCCTTTCTTTTCTTTTCTCTTGTGCAAATGTGCACACAGTGATTAAATGTGAAGGATTTTGGCCAGCTGGTGCATCTAGTAGCGCTTATGTACTGACAGTATTGAGTATATCAAATGAGGCGCTCATTGGCTCCTAGATATTTCAGAGGTCAGATAATGAAGGGGACAGAACAAATAAGGACAAGTGACAGAGTGTGTGATGTGACAATAAACAGTTGGTCCATGACTGAAAAGAAAATGTTTTTTCTTAAAATGTGAATAGCCTTTAAAATTGGAATGTTTGGAAGTTCATGAAGAGGGCACAACCACTCACCCATATTGTACCTGTGTTGTTCATATCAGATTTTGGTGAAATCCAGTTGAAAAGAGAAGGACATGCTGGAGATTCATGCTACTTATCTAAGATGAAAATAATTCTGTTATTATATTGCTTCAGATTACTACCACTACAACCACCACTACTACTACATATGCAAAGTGGGTTGGGATTGCAATCTACTCTTACTAAGAGAAACCCAGCATGGCTTCGTCCACAATTTTTAAGGGCATGTAAAAATTCCTTTATTTTGGGAAGGATGTACAACACAGAAGATCTTCAGCAACAACATGGTTCAGTATAACAGTGCAAATTATTAGCTACCACCAAGGCAAGATCTCTTCCAATCACTTCTCTGTCTAAAGATAATATTAATTTAAAATCTATTTTTATAAATGACAGTCAAGTCTTTAGGAGGATTCAGTTCTGTAGTCCCTGAATGAAAAGATTAAATCACAATACCAAGTCAGAGATTTACAACAAAATTTACAACACTCTGAAATGTTCTGAAGTGTGAGTTTCTGAATATATCTAAAATAATCTGAATTTTTTTATCATCTTATCAAGCAGAGAACTTCAGCAGATACTGGAAACTCTGGCTTTTTATCAAGCTAGTGTAATTATTATTAATAATAAGCTAGAGTAATTATCATGTAATTATTATCTTGCCAGCAATGTGGGAAACATCCCATAGAAAGAAAAACATGAGAAAGGGTACACTTTTCTCACTTCACTTTTTATGTGCTATACAAACTACCCTCCCACTGATTGCAAACACCAGCCTCCCAACTTAATCTTATACAGGGTATACACGGTTGGAAAATGAATATGGAGAGCTAAATTTTGCAACCCTCAGTATGTTAATGACATTTTGCACTCCTTTTTATCCACTACCATGTAACATTTGTAATTTACAGTGCTCTATGGCGCATACAGATTATCAAAGTCATGTAGTTCATGGCTGACAGTTTTATATTGTGGCTCCTCTTTTGCTTGTATACCAGTCCGTATCTCAAGGATCCTGGAACTGCTGCATTAACTAGGTGCCTTATCCTCATGCATTCAGAGCAGGCATAGTCAGAACAATGAGGCCAACAATGCAGGCTGGCAAGGATCATTATCAACATCCAAGAGAGCATGTTCATTCCAGTTTCCAGCCTTGGGATGCTTCTAGATGTATTTTTGCACTCAATGTAACAAAAGAGGAACCAGGTAATTCAGACATAGGATAAGGTAAAGAAGGCACATCAGAGCATAATTAGAAGATTTTTGGCTAGGCAGTACAGGCTTCAGGACATCATCTTAGAACAGAACGCTCTGTGAAATCCAAAGTATAGTTTGCTTTTTCACAACTGCACACAAGTAGTTATCAGAATACACCCAAGGCTGAGTGTTCTTTAGCCAGTAAGCTAAATAGCAACAGATAATTGTAATCACATGGGAAAAAAATACTGTCTGCTAACTGGATGTGTAAGGATAGAGCCTGATGAAAGTCTACCAGCCTTAACACCTGAACATGCCTCTATTGAAAGCAGAATTATCCCAGGTCACAGAACTTCCAACATGGTTACATGCATCAGTATGAAATACAAAAAAAATAAAAAATAAAAAAGATAAAAAATAATAAAAAATTAATAACAAACAAACAAACAAACAGTATCTTGCATTACACCAAGGTCTTGTTCAAAAAATCCCCATTGCCACACAATGGTGACTTGTGTCCTTATGGAGCAGACACGAGCTAATGACTTCCACATCTTGCACTGCAGCAGTCCAGGATGAGGCCTCTAAACAGGGAAGGCAGCTGCTTCCAGGTGTGGAGGTGGAGGGCGGACATCACTCACAAAGTGTCAAGAGGACAGAGATATGGGTGCCTCACGTCTCCCCCTCTGGTACAGTAGGAAAGCTAGCTGGTTGTGATAGCACAGAAAATATTATCCTGGTTTTTGCCTCAGGAAGCAAAATATCTGGGGCTTACTCTGCTGCCACTTGTACAAATGCAAAACTGAGATCTTCTTTAACACCCAGAACATCTTCTTTAACGCCCAGCTTGGATAGTAGAGCAATGATGAAGTGGATATGCTAATGAAAATTACTAATCATACTTCTAAATGGTAAAACGCAATTCTGCCATGTTTTGCATATCCAGATTCTGCTTGAAGCAAATCCACCACTTATTTCCTTTCTACTTGTACAAATGCAAAACTGAGATCTTCTTTAACACCCAGAACATCTTCTTTAACGCCCAGCTTGGATAGTAGAGCAATGATGAAGTGGATATGCTAATGAAAATTACTAATCATACTTCTAAATGGTAAAACGCAATTCTGCCATGTTTTGCATATCCAGATTCTGCTTGGAGCAAATCCACCATTTATTTCCTTTCTACATGTATGTGGCTTACTTAGACAATTGCTTTATGCCCTGCCACACTAATTTTTCAGAGTGTGTGCAAGAAAATGTAGCAATTCACATGTATGCTGCAACATTAGAGTTATGAAGAATTAACAGCACTAGTAACTTTGTAAAATACAGTTGGGGTAAACTGTGTACCTTTAAGAATTTGGAGAAGGAACACTAAAGAGATTAAATCATATTCTGATTTAACAGCCTACTGTAACCCAAACTTGAAAAATTAATGAAGAAACTAATAAAAACTTCTTTTTTATTAGAATACAGTATTTAATAAGATTCAATTAGGGGCAGATACAAGATGATTACCCTTTCCACCTCCCAGTTCAGTAAATCAATATAATTTCTTGTAAAGCTTGGATAGGATTCAACATTGAACATCTGCTGATAAAACAGTAAATCCAGATGAAGCGGGATCTTCCTTTCCCACTGTGACTCAAGTACACCCAAAAAAACTCTTGAGCCACGCCAATTTCCAGGCAGCTACAAAAGTTTCATCAGAAAGGGGGAAGGAATGACATCATGTTGACGTGGTAGCACCGGTGATGTGTTTGCTTTAGAAACTGTAGAAAGTCCTAGGGTGGTGATCCATAGTGGCTCAATGGCAAATGATTCAGGAAATGATCACAACCTTAAGAGCTGACAGTGCAATCTAGGAGGGAGAAATTTTATGTTCCACAGTTACCAGTGCTGCCCCATTCACAAGCCTCTGCATGCCCTCCTTTGCCGGCTGCCCAATCTGTGAAGGTGTCTGGGCTTCCCTTCCCTACTGGCTGACCACTGAGGAGACGAGGAAGCAGGAGGGGGTTCTCCCTGCACAGCCGTTGAGTAGCTGGCTTCTGGAGGAGGTGGGGAAGGGAAGCCCCAACTCTTTCCCGGATTGGTCAGCTGGCAAAGGAGGATGACACGCATGGTGTGCAGAGGCCTTGTGAATGGGGCAGCTGGAAGGCGGGTGGGGTGGGGACAACGTACGTTGTGCCCATCTCTAATTACAGTACTTACATGCAATGCCGTTTCCCAGAAGAAACACAAAAGCACGTGCAAGTGCTGCCCTGAACTTTCCCATGAAACAATTAAAAGAAACACTTTAACAATTGCATATTGTACAGAAAAATATCCAGTTAAAAATATAACTTATATTGAATAAGACAAAAAAAGTCACAAGCAAACAAAAGCTTTTTCTGATATTTTTCCAGGAGTTTGGGGCAAATATATTTATGCATGGAGTGATCCTTTTTATCAACATACGTACAGTGAAAACAAATGTGACACTAAGGAAGAGAACTGTTTCAAAATACACTTTTAAAAAACCCCAATCAAGCACACTGAAGATAAACAGCTGTCATTGGAGGGGACTTTATGCCAACCATGGACTGACTGATATTTTGGCTGATATTTTGTAACAATGCAGAATTGAAACTCTCCGGCTGGCAAGAGTATGGAGTACTATGGGACATTGGACCCACAGGGAAAGCAGCAGCCATGTACCTAAGAGCAGGACATCCAAATAAGGCAGAATTTGTTACAGAAGAAGGTTCCTTCTTTTCACATGTTTCGGTTTTATCTGGTGACTTTCAAAATAAAATCCTAAACGACTCACATCGTTTATAACAATGATGCAGATGGTTCCCAAAATGGAAGCTCACTTTTAAAAAATGATTCACCTGGCAGTTTATTTTCTTTGCTTCTCATCTGAACTTTAGTATTCAGGGTTTCTGAAGATTACCAATACACTTAGTAAGGATTTCTAGCATAGTGCTGAGCAGGGATGTTGGTAAGTCTTGGAACTCAAGTCTCAAGTCCAAGTTTGAGTCCTTGGTACCAAGTCCAAAGTCACATGCTCCAACCCCCCCCTGAGGCTAGGGACTTAAGATTTTGTACCAATGTTTTGGGCCTCCTGCTGCCCAACTTCACTGCCATCAGCCTACCTGCTGTTGCTGCCTCCATTCAGGAGCCACGCCACTGCCTCCCCTTCGCATGTGCTGATCAGCTGATAGGCCAGTGCAGGCAGGCCCTCTGAAGCAGGAGGAAGGTACAAGACCTTTTCATAGTGAGGCTCTGGACCGCTGTACTCCAAAGGCAGGTCCCCCAACCCTCTTCTTCCCTGGTGATGCTCTACGGCAGGCTAGAAGATCACCAGGGCAATGTTCAGAAAGACATGGGTCAAAGGATTTGCTCTCTGACTACGGCAGGCTAGAGTGTCACCATGAAAGGCCCTCTGATGTGCTTCATTTGAAGATGGTGGCGGCAGCAGGTAGAGTGGTGGAAGCAGGGAGCCATAGGGACTTGGCAACCCAACTTGGACTACTGGACTTGAGTCACAAGTCAAATAGCAAGTCATCCCAGGAACCCCCAAGTCAAGTCCAAGACAATCACAGGTGCAACTTAAATCCAACTTGACAGTGAGTCACTAGTCCCCATTCCTGGTGTTGAGTATCTTTAAAATATAGTACTGCATATCTCTAAAAACATTCTGAAATGTTATATTTTTCTTTAGGTTCCCTTAACAGTTTTACTTAGGAGAAGAATATCCCAACATATATTTGATTCAATTTGTAGGAACCAAAAGGATTGTGCTTCAAGATGACAGAATATTGATGGTAGAAAAATGTGGTGCTTTCTACTTCCTGGTTTGTTTTTTCCCTGTGCTTCATTTATCCATTTTGGACCTCAGAGTGACTGGCTGATGATAATTTTTTTCAACTGATCCACCATGTCCTCCTTCAGAGCATTTCGGACTGAGCAGAAAAAGCCAAAGTAGTGCTGAAAATTATGTATCATAAGCAGGACTTTAGCCAGCATCTCTTTAGTTATGAGAAGATGATGGACATAGGCACGACTATGGTTTTGACAGCAGTAGCAAAAGCATCCGTCCACCAAAGGACCAAAATCATCCTGGTACCTACAATGAAAAAGAAATAGAAGAACATATCACTACTATAACCCTATTAGTACTAATAAAGGAATATTCCAAAGCTACATTACTGTAACAATGCTATTACTTATTGTCCAAAATTCTGTTGTGTAGCCACACTTGCAAAATTCACACCAAGGCAGAAGTCATACCCAGTAAGCAGTTTTGTAGGTGTAGATGTGTAATTAGCTGCATAATCAATTGCATGATTAGGCACGCAATGCAGATTGCCTGGGTGTAACTCCCTGTCAGTGTCGGTAGGCATAACTTTATGCGGTGCCAAGTACAATAGAATTTCAGCCATTATTACTGCCATCAATATATATCATTGTTCTTATTCTTATTCTTCATTCAAAAATACCAGGCACAGTCAATCACTATTATAAAAACATTGACTAGTATTGCATAACAGATACAAGTTATTATTGTTGTTGGATTGATCTTATTGTTAAGTGTGCGTAGGACTGCAGTCATACTCTGAAGATTTAAATGGGATTACTCCAAGGAAAGTAGACTAAAGACTGTCTTAACAGAGCAATCTCACAGGTAGCTACTCAGATCATCATCGTCGTCATCATCTTAAAACTGCAGTGCTTGAAGGGACCCTATGGATCATCAATTCCAGCCCCTGTCAAGGGGACATAGTGGGGAACTGAACTCTCAACCTCTTGCCCTGGAACCAGAGACCTAAAGCACTAAGCTAGTGGTTCCCAAACATTTAACTCACAGCTCCCTTTACTTACTGGCCATGGCTACCCAGTAGAGTAGGACTGCTGTATCTATGGCGTCATTAGCCATGGTTTTACTTATCCACTGCTTGAAAAAAATAATAAAATGAAATTAAAAAAACCCCACATGAATACACCTTCCCGGTTGTATTACCATGAGTGGCCACTAGATGAAACCAGAGACTATGTTATATCGAACTGAATTATCCATTCAGTAGTATCCAACCCTTGGTGATTTCATGAGACAGTTCTCTCCATGATTTCTAATCTTGCACATGTACAGCTTCTTTCAACTGCTTTAAATTCTTTATATTCTGGCTGATATCTGTTTTGAGTACATCCAACCAATGTGTTTTCTGATGTCCTCATCGCCTTTTACCACTGAACATTCTGAACATAACGTCTTTCTCCAATTATGCTGATCGCATGGCATGGCCGAAATATGTTATATACAGATAGCTTAAGGGAAACACCTTTGTGGCCTGATTTCTCTGAGAAAAGCAGCTTCTGAAAGAGAAGCTACCTTTTTTGCAGGGGTGGGGGGCAAGCAGGGAAGGCTCCCTTGTGAACAGGAGGGCAGAAAACTCAGTCATGGGGAAAGGTTCCCCTCCCTCCACCATGCACAGACATCAGGGAAAGTGCAAGTAAGTGCTATATAATACTTTGAGGGAGGGAGGGAGAAGGGAGGGGGAAAGATGAGAGGATTCCATGGTGGATTTCCTGGCACCCCTTAATGCTACGGCACACAGGGAAACACTGCACTAAGCTATCCAGATGTCCTGCTGTGCTCCATGGTACATATATAATACTGGTGGCTTAGGCAGCAAGTAAAATAATGGGGAGTAATTCATAGCACAACCTGACATTTCAGACCAAATTTGCAAACCAACATACAGTACCGTTTTTTTTCCAAACATATTTCAAATGAAGTAATTCCTTGGGGTCCATTGAATGTTTCATCTTCTTTTCTTCCCACATCTGTTTGTTCACTTTCTTTGATGGCTGCAATAAAGCAAAAGCACTTCATTAACAGAGTAAAAATAAACAAGACAGACAGTGCCCCTCATTTCAAACACTTCATGGTAAGTCCTATCATTGTGTTTCTCAGAAATACTCACACTGGCATTTAAAATCTTTAAAATTATAACCTGAGACATTACAACCAGATAGGGCTGGTATTCCAGGGGCACTGAGGAAGGCAAAAGAATCTGATGAGAGCTTGAAGCACAAATAGCTGCACTTCCGCTGTTTTAGCATCAGACTGTTCTACTCTGCCGTTCTATCTTTCCCTCCACACACTCCAAATCAGCACTATAAAATTGATTTCTACAAAAACTACATTCAGCCCAGTATGGAGTTGTCCTAATCCACTGGCTTATTTCCCATGACACAATAATTAAATTACAGTACTGCAGTCAAGACTTTTGCTCACGACCTGAATTCAGTCCCAATGGGCTCGAGGTTGACTCAGCCTTACATCTTTCCGAGATCAGTAAACTGAGAACCCAGCTGGGGGGGGGGGGGGGGGGGAGCAAAGTGTAGCCTGCCTAATCAAATTGTAAACTGCCCAGAGAGTGCTTTAAGCACTATGGGGCAGTATATAAGCAGCACACTTTGCTTTTTTGCTTTGCTTTGAGTGATTTTATGATTATGAATAAATCTGATTCACATGCCATCTTTCAACTAGCAATCTGTCAGTTTTCTAAGACAATTTAAATCAGAATTTTTAATGCCAGCTGTCCCAAGGCTGCCACCTTGCAGATGTGCTGGACTACAACTTCCATAATTCTGCAGCCAACACAGTAAGGCAGAGGGCACTAGAGTGGGAACGGCTGCTTCAAGCTGTGATGATAATGATAAAGACAGTTTTCTATTGCAGCTGCACTTTTTTAGCTAGCTGAAAAGATGTCACTAGGAGTGATGGAAAGACATAAAATGCATAATTTTAGAAGTCCTCTGTGCTTTGAAAATTCTGGAATTTAAAACGGATGTTTTTATTTAAAAAATAAACTTTGTCCTATTTTGAACAAAAAATACTAGAAAGCACAGAGAAGGACTCAACAGCTTGCCGTTTGAAAAAGGACAGAAGAACCAAGTCTCTCCTCCCCTTTTCACCTTAAAATCTATATAATTTCCCAAGTTGTAAGCAAGGTGTCTGCAAATGTGATAAAAGATATGGTTATCTGATTTGAGCTGCTGAGGCACGGACAGGCTGTTTGCATTTTCACACTTGTCTTGTTTGTGAGTGACAGTAATTTACGTTTGCTGGAACTTTCTGATGAAGATAATAGTTCTTAAACTTCCTTGTCCATCTGAGGAAATTCAGGTTTACAATGCAATGCAAAAGCAAAGTAAAGCATAACATGCATTTTGCATTCATACAGGCAGGCTTTTCAGGAAAGGCAACAACAAGGTGAAACCAAAAAGAAAAAAAACTTTCTTAAATAAATGGCTCAACATTTTCGGTCCTATGCAGACAGCCTTGAAGAAAAAGAATATTTTAAACTTTTCACTAGAAGATGCTAAAAATTTTCAGGTCACAATAAAATGTACAGACTCATAAGTGCATGTTATACCCAATAAACAACAATGGTGTTAAAAATAACATCAAGCTCCACCTGAAAAATAGTATTTCTTGTGTAACAAGAAAAGTATTATTTATCCTGTGACAGATGAGATAATAGCAGAAATGATTAACAATCAGTTTCTATGCACATATGTGCCAAAATAAGTCCCAGTGAGTTCAACAAAACTTACTCCTGGGTAAGAATTTCTGCAACTACAACCCAAGAAGGTTGAAATACATTTAAAATTATCATCATCATAGAACTGCAGAGTTGGAACAGACCCTATGGATCATCGAGTCCAGCTCCTATCAAGGAACTACAATGGATCAAACTCCCAACCTCTGTCTCTGCAGCCAGATGCCTAAACTACCAATCTATGTACAGTACTTATATTCCATCTTTCTTCCAATAAATGAACATAAGGTAGCATACAACAATTTAAAAATGCATGTATAAAAAAAGCACAATTACAATTATTTTATCTCAACAGCCATACAAGTATCAAGAATACCTGCTCTTTCAGGATTTGGATGATAATCATAGTTGAAGGTTAAAGCACAGCCGCGCTCTGTCACCAGGTAAGGGAAGAAACTCTCAAAAATATCCACCCCTCTCTCAATGCACTCCATCACCTCATCTGGCCTGCCAATACCATGGATAAGTCTACATACAGAGGGAGAAAAAGTTCTGGTCAAAGTGATCATGTTTACTGTAGTCTATTGATTCCATCCCCTTATTCACATGCTAGTCCTTCAACTTTATGTTAAAATCCCAAAGGTACAGTCACCAAAATCAATTATAATCTGCAATGAAACAATATATAAGTAATTATAGCTAAAGCTAAACAAGCATCAAGCTTGCTGAATGTTGAACAGATCTCTAAAAGCTTGATAGAACCCGAAGACCCTCTAAATCCCAATTTCATTAGAGTGCTAACCCAACAATCAGCAGAGACACCACCAAAAATGCCCCCCTTGGTACAGTGGTGCCTCGCTTTACGATCGCTTCGTAAGACGAAATCACATAATGATGAACTTTTGCGATCGCAAAACGATGTTTCCTAGGGGGGAATTTCGCTTTGTGATGATCAGTTCCCTGCTTCGGGAACCGATTCTCGCAAAACGACGATTTTCCTACAGCTGATCGGCGGTTTCAAAATGGCCGCCAGGCAAAAAAAATGGCCGCCCACTGTTTTCTGGGACGGATTCCTCGCTGCACAGGCAGCGAAAATGGCCGTGCTATGGAGGATCTTCGCTGGACTGTGAGTTTCAAGCCCATAGGAACACATTAATTGGGTTTTAATGCGTTTCTATGGGTTTTTTAATTTTGCTTTACGATGTTTTCATTCTACAGTGATTTTGCTGGAACGAATTAACATCGTAATGTGAGGCACCACTGTATATGGTAGTAAACCTACGGCTTGATCTCCCAGGATTACATTAATGTTTAAGAGAAAATGGTACAGGACATTCATGTTTTGAGGCATACAGAATCCAAACCGTATAGAGGCAGGTATATTGAATAATATTCTAGAATTTTTGACCCAACTTTTCTCTACAAGTTCTGCTGGTGTTTGAACTTGAACAATAAAGAGGAAAGTTTGAAACTCAACAAAACTTGGTTCCCTGCTCTCAAAAATACAGCGTGCAAAAGGTCAATGAACTCTACCCAGCCACAAGGACCGGGGATCACTACACACAAAAGACCAGTTAATGACACTCATGAATCACAGTGACAGATAATCTCTCCTCCTTATCACAACAATACACCCACAACAGGACACGCTGATCACCCATCTCCTGAACAGGACAAAAGCTGATCTCACAAATGCTCAACTCCCAAACAAACTACACCAGAGCACAGAGTGCTGTCCTCTGAAGATGCTGGCCACAGAGACTGGCGAAACGTTAGGAAGAACCACCAAAGAGCCCGGCCAAAAAGCTCGAAAAACCCACAACAACCATTAGATCCCGGCCATGAAAGCCACTGGGAATACAATAAACATTGGAAGTTTACAAATCTGCTTCCTTTGGCAGCCTTAGATTGAGTATTATCACCACTGTGAATTTTATGTGCTGTCAATTCAGAACCAATTTATAGTAACCCTGATAAGGCTTCAAGATATGAGGGATATTTAAGGAACAGTTTGACCAGTATCAGCCTATGATGGGTTTCCACATTTCCACAACTGAATAGGGATTCAGAACCCTGGCCAGAACCAACTTACAGTGATCCTAATGGTGTTTTCTAGGTGACTGAAATATTTAATGAGTAATTTTATTTATGCCACTATCCTCAGGACACTGAAGGGATTTTAACCCAACTTTCCTGGTTCTTTGTCCACCACCCTGTCTACCACACCTCACTGAATAACTAACATAAACATTAGAAGTTTATGTTATGTTTTGTCTGGCAGCCTAGGGCTAATTATTATTGCCACTACTAAATATTGTTTCTATAGCATTTTACAAAGTCTAGAATTCTCTTCATTCTTATATATTTGCATTCACATCCTAACTTATACTGTACCTGCTGGCTGAGATGATTTTTCTTGGTTCATGAAACACTGTTCTGGAAATGAAGTGAACAGACTCAACAGTCTAAACATTAAACCCTGAAGTATAATTCACTTTATTGTGTGCTGACTACAGTTATTGGAATGACAGCAGGAATGAATCCTTAGCAAAGATCTTCTGCAGTAGATAGGATAAAATTACTACAGAGAGAAAATTATACTCTTGATGTGGAGGGGGGCACAAGCAATATACTTATTCACTTTAGTATTGAGATCTTTATATTAGTAATGTGAATTGTATTCCTAGCATCTTGAGTCTTTCTTTTCCATGACCTTTAGATCTTGAGATATCATTTTACCAGAAGTACAATGGTGCCTTGACTTATGAACTTAATTGGTTCCGGAACTCCAGTCATAACTCGAAATGGTCGTAACTCGAAGCACCATTTCCCATAGGAATGCACTGAAATATAATTAATCCGTTCCAGCCAAAGAAAAAAATCACCAAAACAACAACAACTCTGCAGGACCCATCCAAAGGGGGGGGGGAGAGGGAGAAAAGCAAAGAAACTGTGCAAGACCCTTCGGAAATGCAAAAAAAGCAAAGCAAAAAGCAAACAAACCATGCAAGATCCATCAGAAATTGAAAAAAAGCAAACAAAACCCCAAGACCCATCACGGCATAGAAACATAATACCATCACCCAGCCCAAAACCACGCTGCAAAACCCACCCAGAACAGTTTCTAAAAAGCAGGAAGCAGCACCTTACCTTACCAGGCAGTCCAAAGCCTCCTCCAATCGCACTCACTCTAACAGTTGGGGTGAAAGACCTACAAAGAAGCAGCCTCTTCGCCTACCAACGTTAGCAATTTGAATTCCCCGCCTTTTTTCCTTGGCTTTTTCTGTTTGTAAATGGAAGCACCAGCCGCAAGTTGAAGCAAAATTTTGCGGCTGGAGCTGGTCATAACTCGTAATGGTCATATATTGGGACGTTCGTAAGTCAAGGCACCACTGTAATTGTTTTCAAAAGCACTTTCCCAATAGTCAGCCATTCAATATCCCCTTGGCACTCGAAAATTCAGCTGGATTCATTCATGCTTATTATGGTATTATTAGTGATAGTGATGATAGACTCCATATTCAGCTGCCAGTTTAAGAAACAACAGTTTTGCTCTCCCACATGAATACTGCTGTGCTGACAACTGTATAAATCAGTGGTTCTTAACCTTTGTTACTCGGATGTTTTTGAACTGCAACTCCCAGAAACCCCAGCCAGCACAGTTGGTGGTGAAGGCTTCTGGGAGCTGCACTCCAAAACGCCTGAGTAACCCAAGGTTAAGAACCAGTGGTATAAATGACTTTAGATCAATATATTTAATAAATGACCGGAAAATAAACAGTGCCATAACAAATTTGTCATTTTTAGCAACAGCTTTTATTTCTGTAGTTAAACTCAGCCCCTTAAAACACTTTTAATATAAATTGGATATATTTTAAGCTTCCTAGTTAGGAAAACAGTATTCAGGCAGCAAAGCAAGTATATAAGCAATTAGCATTTTAGTTTCTTAATGGCAAATCCTCTAGCAGTAATCAGGGTTATTCCCTAAAAACAAGTTGATGCCTTTCAAAATATGACAATCAAATTCCCCCCCCCCTTATCCTTCCTCCAGTGACCGGCCTCGTCTGTTTCAACCAATTGCAGTGGCCAGAAGATGAGTGCCAGACAGGTGTGTAGGAATTGTGAAGTGCCGAAGCAACTAAAGGAATATTGGAGAAGATGAGAGGGGTTTCTATCTTTGCTCAAGCTCCGAATATCATACTATGGGTTTGTGAAGAATAATCCCCACCAAACTAATTGTTTTTCATTTTATTATCTTATGGATTATGGAAATGCTGTGCACATAATCCACCTTGTTTCAGCACAGCACCTGATAAATTCAGATGAAGCAAACTGGTTAAATGCACACCAAATAATACCATTAGGCAGATTCATAGCTGCCTGAAAAAATGTACTAAAAACATGCTCCATCATGATTCCTGATTAAACTGAAGGGAGGTTTTCAATAGGACAGGTGTTCAGTGGTTTCCACCCCACCTCCTTCAGTGGACACCTGTTCAGAGACAGTGGGGCTGGAGGGCACTGATCCAGCGATTTGAGTCCATCTCTAGGCCAAAATGAGTACTGTAGTTCCAGATTCAATTTTTAGAGGTTTGGAGTATTGTATTCCAAGTGTGTATAAAGCAAAAAACTGCTGCTTTTAGAGGCCTCCCTCAATGGGAAAAAACATTTTTGCTTTAAAAAAACACCCTGTAATGGAGCAAAAGGTCATAGTAAGATTTCATTAAATCTGTATTAATATTTAAAGTTTACTCTCCCCAGTCTGACATGTCTAGTGTACTGTTTTCACTTCAAGATGTCATGTGTTAAAAAGAATAGAGACAAGTATGAACAAACCAGAGCAAAGCAAATTATCAATGGTATGGAAAACAAGTCCTAAGTGTTCAAGACTGAAAGAACTGCCAATATTTCACATGGAGAATACTGAACTGAGGAGAGACAGGTTATGATGCTATAATTTAAACTGTTTCTCGGTTACATTATTATGGTGTTGCTTTTCATTATGATTTTATATTTTTTATTTTGTGTAAATAGTTTTGATCATTGTTCTTTCCTTGTGTTGTTCTCTCCTTGTGTATCTGTTTGGCAGTTATGCTTTTTGTAAATTACCTTGGTATGCATGAAGATAAATGGCGATGTAAAAATACTTTAGTAAAATAACAGATTGAAAACAATGCTTCTGCACTTACGAAGTCTGCATGCTTATCATAATATTACACTAAAAAGACACAAGTTCCACTTATCTGCATTTAACAGAGGTACCCAAACGTCTTCCAGAAGACAGTGAAAAGGCATCTTAAGGATGAATACTTAGAAAGGCATGTTAATTTGCAATTTCTTGGAATTCTGTTTTGAAATGTGCTAATTTAAGTATGTACCACCAATAGCTGATCAGGTAGCCTTGATGATAACATCAGATAAGTGTCGTCAGCATATTTTGTTTCAAAGAATCACTGGGAAATGTATTTTTAATCAGTCATAAAGTATTGGAACTGGTTCTACAAAAACATACAAAACTGCCTTATAGTGAATCAGACTATTGGCTATTGTAAGTCAAATATATAAACTATTAATTCAGGCCAAACAAGATACACAAGGATTAAAAGCACAGTGGCAACATGATTTGGATAAAGAAGCAGTAGGAGAAGAACAGAATAAAATGTGGGATCAAAGAATTATGTTCTACAGAAACATATAAAATTGTCTTATAGTGAATCAGACTATTGGCCGATCTAGTCCAGTACCGTATACTCTTACTGGCAACAATGGATCTTTATGCTTTCAGACAGGACTCTGGTCTACCATCCAAACACAAACCAGGTCCAACCCTACTTAGCTTCCAAAATAAAATGAGATTGGTGAGTTCACGGCAGTATAGTGCTAGCAATACTAACATTTATGTGCAATTTAATGAGATACTTTGCCATTCTGCCAAAAAACAAACAAAAAAACCTTTACTATGTTGCCTCTTTCCAAATTAATTTGGTGGTACAGTAGCTCTTATTTGTAAAGCAGATAGTAACATGAGACTGGGTTGACCTGCCAGAAAATGCTCAAATGAAAGAAGGTAGAAAAATGAATGAACCAGCCAATCCTTTGTTCTGATTGTGCAATGATTCTGTGTGGTTGAATGAAAATCCTGTCACATTTAGCCGCCTAGAGTGGTCCGGTGGACCAGATAGGCGGGTATAAACAAACAAACAAACAAACAAACATTTCTACCTATGCCTTATGTTATCAAAATCTGATAGTCAACAGCACATAATGCTACATCCAATGACTTGTACAACACCAGCTGAGATGTGGAGTTTCATTCAGAAAGTTGCCCAAGGATAATTTTTACCATTGCATCATGTTTTTTGATCCAATTTACACTTAATTCTCACCTTGGTTTATCTTCTGGCAGTTCTGCTGTAACCAAGGCCAAGAGTTCCAGCTTGGTTTCCTTGGTCATGGCACTTCCCTGAAAGCCATCCAACAAAAAGCCACCCACAGGTCTCTTAGCAGTCTCTCTAGCGGATCTCAGCCTCTCCTCCAGCACATTCCCACCTTCAATAACACCAATCATCAAGCTTTGTTGCAATTCCTTGTCGGGGGGAAAAAGGAACAAGTACAGTATAAGAAAAAGGCTTCCTTTTGTTTAACTGTCTGACAGATCACTGAAGGAATGGACTTTTCTTCCAAATCTTCTTACAGCATTGCTATATTAATTATAACTGCTGCTGCTACTGTTGTTTACTACATTTATACCTTGCCTTTCCATTACAAAGTAGTGACCAATCTCCACAGTGCAATAGGTAAAAACTTGTTTCATAAATTATGCTGCATAATGCTGATGATGTCATCATCTTCTGTTATTTTTCAGAAGTAAACTTTTTCTGATTTCCTCTTTCAGGTCCCAAGGCCCCCACTGAATACCCTTCTTCATCAGAAAACCAATGGGGACTGCAGGATTGGGTGGAAGGTATTTAATTATTGAAAACTGCCACCACCAGGATGACATTCTCAGGATGACTGACATTTTCAGTCATTGAAAACTTCCTCCTCCGCTTCCCATAGCCCACAACAGATTCCCAAAGATAAAAGGAATTGCAGGGGAGTCTCAACCTTTGGGGAAGGAATTGGAATTTCTACCATTCCGCGTTGCTTTTAATATTTGTTGTAAGTTTCCTCACAATTTGGAAAAATGTAATACATACATTTTAAATAAAAAGGGGCTCATGTGATTTCCAACACAGAAATTGATCTCCATGTGGAGAAGTGTGGAGTAGCTAGTATTTTCCCTTAGCAAAGAAACCTGCAGTTGCAAAGCTGAATATAAAGATACTTTAAATAGTCTTTCTAATGAAATATAAAATGATGTTTACAGAACAAAGAGGAAATGGCCTGGTATTACTGCACAGTATCACGCCCACATTGCCAGCAGGAAGAAGGATGCCCAGCTTTACATAGCAAAAGGCAGCCTGAATTTTGACACTACCAGTAGTGGCAGCAGTCAAGAGGGTCTACAGAATATCCTCTTCTGCTCACTATCATTCACAAAGAGACACTACGCTGACTCTTTTTTTTTAAATCAGTTAACCAATTTTCACTCAAACACAAAGCAGTTTGCCAGGGGCTGTTTTTCAACAAGTGTAAATGGTAGTGAACAGAAGAGGGTATTTGAGACTACGTAAATTATCCATCTGAGCTGCTAGAAGAAGAAACAGACAGCACACCTTCAAATCCTGTCAAAATTACTTCCTGGTGTTGAGTCTAAGCATATTTACTCAAGAACATACTATAGTCTACATCTGTGCCAAATCTGGTGCTGATCTAAGCTTCCGTTTCAATTTCATAATTTTTGTTTGGGGTCCTTCCTCAAGTGTTTAAATTGCCTTATGGAATGCTGAATTGTGCTGTCACACTGAATGCTCACTGCACAAGCATTCAGCAATATTTGAATGCTTGTGTAGCAAGAATGCAGGGCTCGAAACTGCCAAAGTTATTTTTATTTTATTAATTTATTTATTGGATTTCTATCCCACCCATCTAGATCGAAGGTCCACTCTGGGCGGTTTACAAATTTAAAAACAATAAAACCAATAAGCATGTATTATAAATCCAAGGTTGCAAAAGTATAAGAAGTTAAGATATAGCAGGAGGGAAAGCTTCCCCAAATAGCCAGGTTTTAGGTTTATTCCTGAAAACACCCAGAGAGGGAGCCATACGGATCTCCATGGACAAGTTGTTCCAGAGGCAAAGGGCCACTGCCAAGAAGGCCCTGTTTCTTGTTCTTTCCTTCTAGACCTCCCTCAGCATTAGGCCCCTCAGCTGCCCAGCCTGGCTGAAACGGGTGACTCTGGTAGAACTGGATGGGAGAAGGCGCGCTGCCAGATACTGAGGTCCTAAACTGTTTAGGGCTTTATATATAATCACAAGAACTTTGAAATGAACGCAGAAACGAATGGGCAGCCAATGCAAGGTGGCCAGAGTAGGGGAAATATGATGGTACCTATTCACCCCAGTTAGAACTCTGGCCACCGCATTCTGTACCATCTGAAGTTTCCACATCAGTCTCAAAGGCAGCCCCACATAGAGTGCATTACAGTAGTCTAATCTTGAGACTATGAGCGCATGGACCAAAGTGGTGAGTACCCCCACAGCAACCAACTATCATGCCAGTTGGTTTGCATGTGCCAGGCTTTCTGTCAGCCTTGTTCTGGGAGACCTGCAAGACACAAAATCTAAAAAGGGGGCTAAATCTACTGTGATAATATCTCAAATTGATTTAGCTCTTAACCGGTGATTTATCTTGCAGTTGTAGACATTCATCCAAAAAAGACAGGGATCGATCAACAGACTTCCTGACTCTCTTCTTGGAGACTTCACCAGCAAGTATGTCTCCATCTGAAAGGCACTGGAACCAGTCCGGCTGGATAACCTGCTGGATAGCCATAAACTTGGATGCTCTCAATTCCATCCGCCCTCCACATCCCCATATAGATACTGCCTATAAAAGATAAGGAAACACAGACAGTTCAAAAGAAAAAAAAAACGAGACTTCCTGACTCTCTTCTTGGAGACTTCACCAGCAAGTATGTCTCCATCTGAAAGGCACTGGAACCAGTCCGGCTGGATAACCTGCTGGATAGCCATAAACTTGGATGCTCTCAATTCCATCCGCCCTCCACATCCCCATATAGATACTGCCTATAAAAGATAAGGAAACACAGACAGTTCAAAAGAAAAAAAAAACGACTTTAATAGATACTGCCTATAAAAGATAAGGAAACGCAGACAGTTCAAAACAAAAAAACTGAGTCAGTACTTTATCAACACATATTCTCCACCTACTTCTCTGACATCTGGATAAACATCAGTACTGCATCTCTCTGATCCACATACATTCTAGAAAACATGTGCACTTCTTTTCCACCTTAGATGGTTTGCTCATATCCACCCCGCTGCTTCTTTGCTCTCGACCAAAATGCTTCTCCCTCTTTCAAAACAAAAAGGAAAGATATAAACTCTGATTTTCTTACGCTCCTACTACTCTTTGCTCTGTTTCACTTAATGACTTCACTGTGTGATAATTGCCTCTCCGACTGCAACAGCAAAAGTGAAAACATTGTAGCACCTTTTAGATTAAACCATTTATTTTAAGAGTGACCTTTTGTGGACACAATTCCCTTCTTCAGACAGAGAGCACATGTGGTTAGGCTTCACCTTGAGTGTTGTGTCCAGTTCTGGACACCACACTTCAAGGATGCTAACAAATTGGACGAAGTTCTGAGGAGGGTGACAAGGATGATTAGGGGGCTGGAAATCAAGCCTTATGAGGAAAGGCTGAAAGAATTGGGCATGTTTAGCCTTGAGAAAAGAAGACAGAGGGGTGATGTGATAGCACTTTTCAAATATTTTAAAATACAAAGGAGGCGCAAGATCTGTTCTTTATCTTATCATTGTGCAGGATATGCAACAATGGGCTCAAGTTAAAGGAAGCCAGATTTCAGATGACTATCAGGAAAAACTTCCTAACTGTTAGAGCAGTACGACAGCAGAGCCAGTTACCTCGGGAGTTGGTAAATGCTCCAACAATGGAGGCATTTAAGAAAAACTTAGATAATCACCTGGCAGATATGCTTTGATTGTATTCCTGCAGTGAGCAGGGGTTGGACTTGAAGGCCTTGTAGGTCTCTTCCAACTTCACTTTTCTATGATTCTAAGAAATTGATTGTGTTCACTAAAGCTCACACCAAGATAAATGTCTAAGTCTTAAAATGTCACATGACTTTTGTTTCTGTTGTTGCTGAAGCAGACTAACACTATTACCTTTTCTGAAAATTTCCTCATTTCCATGATCTTCTGCTTTTACAAGGTCTCTGTTTCCACTAATGACTTTTCCCTTTCTCCACTTTACCCCATTTGTTTGGAACTGCACTCCAGAACATGTGAATGATGGATGCCACCTCTTCCTTCCTTCATATATCTCCTCAAAACACAACCTTCCTGTGAAGCTGTTGGCAGATTCCCTTGCTGTACTGTAAGTGAACTTGAAACTATGTTGAGGGATCTGTGAGTGAAAAAGTCACACACTCCTGTGGCGTTATATAAATGGAATTATATAAATAAATTTGTACTATTAAGAATTGAAACACAACTATTTCTCACATTTGGACGTGAAAGCCTGAGATGACATGACTCAAAGCATATTACATCTCAAAGTCATCTTCAGATAATTAAATGCAGTAAACGTAGTCAGGAAGCTGTACTGAAAAAGACTTTATTGTTTTAGCTGTAGGCCCTAGTTCTTAATTTTAAAAATTAAAAGGGATAATTAATTCTGGCTTTGATTCTTCTGCTGAAGGGGTCCACGAATTTATCTCCTTGTGGGCAATCATTTCAAACATAACCTATCATATTTAATCTCCCATACGTCCCATTCTAAGCAAGAATATGTTTTCTTTTTGTATGCATGTTATTTTTAAAAGATCAAAATTCATAGTCTCAGCACAGAAAGACAAGGTCTGCATATAATATGTAGAACCTCTGTATTGTTTAATACTTATGATTTAAATCAGGGAAGGCAAATGTAAAGCATACAGCAATTTGACTTGCCAAGAGCCCAGAGACATGCCTCTGACACCTCTTCTGGAATTTCCCCTCCTCTGCTTATTGTTACAGAAAAGTGAGTGGAGGTCATTGCAGAGTATCTTTTGTCACCCTGTTTCGACAATTCCAAGGAAAGACAGAAAGCAAAGATACGTTCCACCTATTTAAGAGAGTCTGAAACCAATAAAAGCTGCCCTCTTTCCTTAGAATGGAATATAACATGAACCAAATGTTACTACATATGCCTCTTGGAGTTTTTGTGGTTCGTTTATCTGTTTTTCTTCAATACATGATTATTAAAATGCTTTTAACCTGCTGTAAACCACCCAGAACAGTGCATTGCTCCAATGGTACAGTATATAAGTTTAAGAAATAAAAATAAATAAATAAGGGACCTAAGTAGCCAACCAGAAATGTACAGAGGTTGGGTCCACTATTCTAATGCCACTGAATCTATTATTAAAGAATCAGTTGATTTAATGTTAAAAAAATCAAGTTGAGATCAGAAATGGACTGGAGATCAAACAAACAAGTAGAGGTTCAGGGGTTCTTTGCAGGGGTTCAGAGTTTGAGTGGCATTAATAATCTCTATCAGAATACATGGTTTTGTTGTACACTTTTTGAGGCAGTAGATGCGAAAATGTGGTGGCACTTTCTGCAAAGGTCTGTGAGAGCTAGAACATATTAGCTATCAGTCCATATATATGTTTCCCATTCATGGCTTCCAGTCATAGTTTCCTGCATATAATTATCCACCAGCTATCATACTGTCCTAAGCAAAAGAAGAAAAAACAGAGAGAATAAACTCTTACTCTTTCATAATGCTGTTGCTACTGCCACAGACATTGTTCTCTAAAACCACTTTATTACTTTGTCCACATTTCGAAGACTGAAATAGCAGAAAATTCTTCTGACTACTATACCTTGTTGTTGTTGTAGCCAGTTGGGGAACAGCTAACAGGATCATGAAGGGAACAGTACACTACTGACTCTGGCATACCTGAGTGCATAGTAAACATTTACGTTTCAATATACAGATTGAGTAAAAATGTGTTGCCAACATTCTCACACATAGGTTATACCAATGATCTGTATACTTATCCTTTCTGAAGAGGAAGTTAAAGATACAGAAATATGCCAATAAATATGGAAAATAAAACAATTTCCAGCAGACTGTAAATTTTCAATATACATTCCAATTCCAAATAAAGGAGTTGCTGAAGAGTGAAGTAATTATAGGACTACCACATTATCTCTCACACAAGCAAAGTGATGCAATAAAGACTTTTACCATATAAGAACTGAGAAATGCTTGATTTTAAGCTGTGGTGGTCCTATAATTCAGAAAAGGGAGATGCATTAAATGTCATATTACAGATATACCTGGACTACTGGAGTGTACTAAAGAATTTCAGAAGAATATCACTTTGCGCTTCACAGATTACAACAAAATACTGTATTAGAATGCATTGATTATGAAAAGATACAGAGTTGTGTGGTGGTTTTTGCTTGTTTGTTTTTTAAAATATTGGCGAGGTGCCTGAACATTTTATTGTCCTTATGTGTAAACTCTACTTTGACAAAGAAGCTACCATTAGAAGAGAATGGTTTCCCATAGGGGGAAATGTCCAAGACGGGTGTATTTTATCTCTCTTTCAGTTCACTTTGTATGCAGAGCTATCATACAGAAAGCTGGACTAGATGCAGATGAAAAATGAGTGAAAATCAGTAGAAGAAATATCAAAAATAAGCATATGACACCATATTTACTGGAAGAAAGTGGCAATAACTTGAAAAGACTCCTGATGAAGGTGAAAGAGGGATGTGCAAATGCAGAATTACAGCTGAATATTAAGAACAGCAGCTATGGAGCAACTAGAAAAGATCCTCAAGTGGTGTGGAATGTGTCTATGGAGATGAAGGTGAAAATCATCCATACTATGGTATTCCTGATTACCATGCATGGATCAGAAACCTGCAAAGGGTAGAATGCAAATAGAAAAACATGAATAATTTCATTCAAAACTAGAGAGAACTTTGTGGATCTCATGAACTGCCAGAAAGACAAGTAATGGATTTTAGAGCAAATCAAGTTAGAATACTCACTAAAATCAAAAACAACTAAAGCAAGGCTATTGTACTTTGGACACATCATGATAATGTAAAACTCATTGAAGAAGACAACAATGTTGGGAAAAGTGAAGGTCAACAGGAAAAAAGGACCATTGACTCCATAAAAGAAGCCACAGCTTGGAGTGTGCAAAAGCCAAGCAGAGCTGTTGAAGACAGGGCTTCTTGGAGGTCACAAATTCACACGGTTGTCATAAGTTATATGCAGCTTCACAGCACATAACAAATAATACATTCTAACCTACTCCAAAGATACAGTCTTTAATACCATGTACAATACTTCCAAATTACATTTCTCAATGTCTCAACACAATTTTACCTATGAACTTTCTGATGCCTTCTTTATATTCTGCCAAGACCTCATGAAGATCTGCTCTGCATCCAAACAAAAAAAGATGTCAGTGTGACAATGACAATTAATGCATTTTTAGAGGAAAGTGGATTCAGTACATTAAATATACAGTTCCAATGCCCAGTAAAGAAACAAATGCAATTTTGCTGGGAAATGGATTAAATTTTATGGCACCTTGTTTTGACAGTAAAAATTGCACTCACAATGCTGAAAGTGAAAGTTGTGCAACTACAGGAACATCTTGGACCATCTGTAGAGTGTCATGGGTAAGATGTGGTGCTGATCCCATTTTTGTATAAAGCAGGCAACCTGGAATCTCCATTGATTGCGTCTCCTTTTTCCCAAAATTTGTCAGTATACCAAGACGGCAGCCACCAACTATTTTTGACATGCTTAGTTTCATCTTCATTAAAATATCTGAAAAGCAATAAGAAAGGGCCAATGTACATACTCACCTTTATTGCATCGTAACTGCATTTACACAATGTTCACAATTTCCACTGGAAGAATATGGGCACAGCACAGTGAGACAGAACAAACTGTATGGCTACATGTTGCAGTTCAATTCCTATCCCCTGCCATGCCCTGAAGAAGAACCCGCCTGTACGATCTCCAGAAAGCTACAGAATCCCACAGACGATCAATCACTTCATAAATAAAAAGGACCTGCACAAATGCATGGATTATCCTACCTGATGACATATGAAGCTATGGATATATGGGCTAAGGAGTTAGCATGTATTTTTTTGAACAGGGAATACTGCTAAGGTAGATACAGAAGATTTCATTTAAAGCAGCGGTGTTATTCCTAGACTGCAGTTCCGTTCAGTCCCACACAGTGCAACCAAGAGTAAGGGATGATGGAACTTACAGGGTACAGTGTGAGAACATCTGGAGGACTATACACTTTCCACTTTTGCTTTAATCTTAGAACTAGAGAGCTGGGAGGAACCCTATGGATCATCAAGTCCAGCCCCTGTCTAGAAGGCACAGTGGGGAACTGAACTCCCAACCTCTGGCTCTGCAGCCAGATACTTAAACCGCTGAGCTATCCAGCAGTTGCCACTTTGAGACAGGGTGGGCAATGTGTAGTCCATGGGCAACATGACACCTCAGCTCACCCACCAATTGTGATTTTTATTGGTCCCAAACCCTTCCTCTCTTGGGGTGTGTGAGGGCAATTTCAGCATATTGTGTTGGGAGCCTGAGGGCTACCTGCACTCTCCCATGTTTTAAACAATTGAGCACTAGAGGTCACAACTTTTTTTTGTTAAAAAAAAGAATTTTGTTAAGAAATGCTATTTTGGGACTGGGAGTCATGGGAGTGCTCCTCTATGGCCCATGGATAAGTGCCTGCAGGCCCCACATGGCTTAAGATTGCAAACCTCTCATTTAAAAGATTCCCAAGAAATTTAGGGCCAATTAGCATGATATATTTCCAGAATGCTTGCATTCTGAAGCATCAAAGTAGAGGAGACAGATCTCAACTGTGATGAAAGAGTCTCTTCATTTGGTTGTTGTGGGGTTTTCTGGTTCTTTGGCCATGTTCTGAAGGTTGTTCTTCCTGATGTTTCGCCAGTCTCTATGGCCGGCATCTTCAGAGGACTGGAGTAGGAACTCTGTCCATGCTCTGTTGCTGTTTGTTGGATAGTATTTATAGCTGTGGGAACTCACTATCTGGCAAGAGAGTGCCGCTTTGGATAGTGAGTATTTATAGCTGTGGGAACTATAGGTATGCTGGCAAGAGATTGCCGCTCGCCAGCATAACCATGAAATCAACCAGAATGGAAAACTGGTTACAAATATGCATTATCACTGCTGAGGAACACAGTTTTCTCAGGTAATCAACCAGAATGGAAAACTGGTTACAAATCTGCAAACCTGCATTATCACTGCGGAGGAACACAGTTTTCTCAGGTAGCTGTTAAATAGATGCCAATTACACTTCACTTCAGAGACTATAAATTTTTAAACTTTCCACTTTAAAACACTCCCTCTCCCTCTCTGTCTCTCTCTCTCTCACACACACACATACATCATCACCACCACAACCTTCCTTGCATAGAGTAAAGCAGAGATAAAGGCTTGGCACAGTTTTCCCCAAGGTACTAATTGATAAATCAAATGGGGTGGCAGAGAGAAGGATGTAAGAAATATGTCTGATACCCTGCAATGCTTCAAAAGTAGTCGTCTTCTTAGTTTGCTGTTGGAAAAACGATTAACAGTCTTGTGGCACTTTAAAGGCTAGCACATTTATTACTGCACGAGCTCTCATTTCACATGCATGGTAGTCTATCCAAACTTTTAGGAATGTACTGTATACAGATTTGGTTGGCGCTGTAAAAAGTAAGGTCCGAGGGAAATTGCTTGACGGCAACAGTTAGGTTACCAGCATTGCCCATCACCAAACTATTACTAATACGTTAAGTAGAGCCAAGAAATCTACCTTTCGAATGCACCGGTCACACGTGTTCTGTGCCAAAAGGCGGAACCGACTTATAGCGACCCTTTCACGATTAAGTGAGATATTTAAGGAATGGCTGCACCAGTTCCCCTCCGCCAATGAGTTTTCCATGGGATTCGACTCCTGATCGACAGGGTCCTGATCTATCACTCTATTCAGTACATCACACTGGGAAAGCAAAGCTGTTAGGATTTCGATGAGTCCTAGCTGGAAAATCCCAAAGGCCGGACATGCCATGCCGCTTTACCCCAAGTAAACACGAGAAGAATGAACCCCACCAACACAGGTACTGTGCACACGCGCGCGCGCGCCCTCGAGACCATACCTGTCCGAACACACACAAACCGGCCGCCTCCGTCCCGAACATTAGCTTCTTCCACCTTCGAGGCGGTACGCCAATCAGAATACGGATCGTCATCACGAGTGGACGGCAAACCGGTATTCGTGAGTGACTTGAAGAGCCGAGAGACAGGTTGCCATGGCAAAGCTGAGGGACGCCGAGCTCACCACGCGGTGCAACCTGGGTCGTGGAGTTTGCAGTGCTCTGCTGTTACTAGGTTGCGCGGCGAAAGGACTTCATTTCCCAGCAGGCTTTGCCGACGGCCGAAGCAGCTGCAAGGCTTGTGGGGAGGGCACTTCATTTCCCAGCAGGCTTTGCCGACGGCAAAGCTGCAAGGCTTGTGGAGAGGGCGAGGAAAAAGGTTTGGTCTTGCTTGTTCAATGGCGGTCATGAGACCCCGAACTGAGCTTTATCGCTGGCGACGTTTCACGCAGCCTTCGTCGCGGCAAAAGGTAGAGATCGAAATTAGATTAGTGCCATGGTAGGAAGGTTGGGTGAGGGCCGAAAGCTTGCCCTCCCCATCCGTTGGTCTGTGTCGCGGTTATAAAATTATACCTGGTGCGGAGAAAGTGAGTGGAGAACTCTTCTTCATAATACGAGTTTGGGATTATTTGTTGAAGCCGCACCATAGGAGGGTCGGACTGATGCAAAGAAGTACAGGTATTCTTCACACAGCGTGTGAACTGTCTGTGGAACTCGCTGAGACAAGTTGTGCTGGTGATCAACTTGCAAAGGGGGCTAGATGGTAGGCGGCCCCCATAATCAAAGTCTTGGAACAGCCAATAATTCACTGGGGGAGGGGAAGCAGAAGTCGAAGCTGGTTCCTCTCATGAAGAGCTTGAGGTAGCTGCAGGCATCTACTTGGCCACTGACTGCGAGAAATAGGATACTGGCGGTGCTAGAGATACCTTTGACACGATCCAGCAGGATCGTGTCAAATGACGTTCATAATTACGTTCATAATGTGATCCCAGCAAAACACTTGTGTTCTGTGTTGGTGCTTTGGATCCCCCTCCCAAAATGTTCTCATATTCATAGGCCAGCTGTGGACCGTCACCAGAGCACAGCTGACTCCTGAAAAGGTGCACACTGGAAATGTACTGTTGCAGTTCCTCTGCAGTGAAATTAAACTATATTTTCTTAGACAGTAACGTTTCTTAGGACAATAGTGGTTACTTTCTAGTAGACGATGACAAGATTATATTTCACCCTGACTTTTTTTAATAATACAGATGTTTATAGCCCAAACTGTTATTTTAGGACACTTTTGTTGTTTTACATTTTATTTTGTAATTTTATGCCATCGGCCAGCCAAAGAACATTGTCATGAGGTGGTTTATTTATATAACTACATTATGTGCATACCTGACAGTTGTCTAACAGCCATCCTGGGGGCTTCTAAGGATATACAGCCTTATATTAAACACACACATCTTTTGTTTCATTTAAGATTAATGTTTAGCAGAATGTTAAACTATTTAATTTTTCTCCTTCAGAAAAAAATTGATGCTGACAGTGTAGAACACTGGATTAAGGTAAGAGGAAATAAAGTGATGTGCTGCCATAGTGTACTTGAACTGAAGTATCATTTTTTCCCAAATTATTCAATGGGACTGGCTTCCTAAAGGCTTAAAGGTTGAGATGTGATCCTAAATATATCAGGAGTTAAGGCCATTAAATAGTCAAAATGTGCATAAATAAATGTGCATAGCTAGGGGTGTAAATTTGTAATCAATAAAGTGTCTTATCAGCAGTTGCATCTAAATTGTGAAATTCTTTGCCCTAAGCAGAGACATTGTATTCCCTCTGCAATTTTTCAAAATGAAAGCAGTTTTCTGGGATCTGAGCTGGGAAAAACTTCTGCCTCTTCCCACCCATCCCCACAGATAAGCAAAAGGACCAAACAAGGGACCTTTTAATAACAATTATGAGTACTACTGTTAAATGATGTTTTATTTATTCCTTCACTTAATGCATCTTTTTATCACTTTCCTCCCAGCAAATAATTCACCTTTTTATTTTTTGTAGCGGGTAGAAGAAGCCTCTGAATTTGCTGTTGCTGAGGTCTTTTCCTTTAAAAAGACACCTTATTCTCCTGGGCTTCATGGTCCATTGGTGGATCTAGAAACAACAGAACAGCTGTTAGATCATGATGAGGCTTATGTAGAAGGTATTTCCTAAACATGATGCTGTCTCTAGAGCAACGTTTAATAATTATCTTTATTCTTTGGACATATTTCAGCAAAGAATTAGGAGGTGCACTTAAAAGCTTATCTATCATCTTTGTATCTTTCTAGCAATCTGCTGTTTGCAATAACAACATTCCAGCTTCTAACTGTGTTTGTAGATACCTGCATGTTGCTAGGATTTCTTCATCTGGGCTGAAATTAGTGTTGAGTAGTACTGGCAGAGAGGCTTGTTTGCTACGGCACAGCAGTTTTAAAGATGTTTGGATTATTAGTGGTGATGACTAAATTAATGTCATCAGTATAAATGGTAGCTTTCAACAATGTACAGTACATGATTTCAGCTACTGTACTTTTTATTGCCATGTTTCACCTTTTAATTAGATGAATTTTGTATGCATCATGTTCCTCTTGGGATCAAAATAAATATTAAAATAAAGCATTATAGAATGAAAATACATTTTAAAGAAAAATTGGGCATAAAGATAAAAGCCAAACATTCTCACCAGAATTCTTTCATTTGTGTATCCCAAGGTAAGCCAATTAGCTTAAATTACACTAGTGAATTGCTGGTACCTGTAATTAAGAAATCAATGTTTGTTTCCTCATGTGCCAAATCATATGATTTGGCCTCACATGAGGAATACAGTATAATTGTTGATTTCTTAACTAGTGTCTGTTCTCCACTGCAGTTTGTACCACTGGACTGATACTGGCATATGCAATTAAGGGGACCCAGGCCACTCAGACATAAATATATATATAAAAAGTAATGTAACTCCACAGAACACATGCTCTGATTTGGAGCATTGAGATGTTTTTGTCATTTTACATCTTGAACTTTCTTTGCTGGGATATGTCACTCAGATTTTTTGGGACTTCAACTCCCAGGATTCTTCAGTAATTCCCCAGGCAGAATTATGGGAGTTCCAGGCCACAGACCTATATCTAACTATAAGCACCTACATTTCACTCACCCGGACCTTGTTTTGGAGGCTACATGGCTGCCTTGGGCTTCTTCCTGTTGTTAAAAAAAAAGGAAAAAAAAGAAAAAAAAGAAAGCTTGGATTTTTTGGGACTTCAACTCCCAGGATTCTTCAGTAATTCCCCAGGCAGAATTATGGGAGTTCCAGGCCACAGACCTATATCTAACTATAAGCACCTACATTTCACTCACCCGGACCTTGTTTTGGAGGCTACATGGCTGCCTTGGGCTTCTTCCTGTTGTTAAAAAAAAAGAAAAAAAAGAAAAAAAAGAAAGCTTCCTAAAAAAGGAAGCTATCATTACAATGGTTAATTTTGTTTGTATATGTGAAAGTAACAAATAGCTAGCAGGTCTAAGACAGCCATGCAGTCTCCAAGACAAAGGCATTGTCCAGGTGATCAAAATATAGGGGTCGGTAGATGAGAGTCTGTGGCCTGGAATTCTCAGAATTACACCTGATGAATTCTTGAAAAACCCTTGAGAGGTGGAATCCAAAATATTCTAATGGCACATCCCTACTGTTGGCCACTTTTCATAGTAGAACTGATTACAGTTTTCATCAAATATAGCCCAAGAACTGCTTAGTGACTGGATGAATTCCAAACTGAAGCTGGAATTGACAAGTGATCAAGAAGATGATACTGAAAATGGTGCTGTTTGCTCTGTTCCTCCTCAGGAGCCTCCTGCTGGCTTTCAGAAGTATGACAGATTTGATGGTGAGAGCTTGCCTGAACTTCAAACATGGTTTTAGAGAGTATGTAGCAGTAATAGTGAGCACAGTTTAATGGAAACAAAATGTTAGAAGGAATGGAACTTTCTTATGTATATGGACTATGGCATTTCAGCTATAAACTGTGGGCTTGTCTACCTGTCTTAGCTGGAGCACGCTGGTGGAGGCTAAACAGGGCTGCTAGTAGCTCTAGTATGGCATTTGGTGCAATCCTCCAAATGGCATACAGACCTCAAGCAACCCTATTTGGTCCACACAAGATCTGCTGTCAACTTGCCAGTATTGTGAAGATGCTTAAGAGAGCCACTTCAGCATATTGGCAAATTACACACTTCCTCAGTTCTGTGAAGGGGTCAAGGGAAATGGATTTTCTTTTTTAAAGGTATTGAGTATGTTACAAGTTAACTATTAAGTATATGCACATCGAATAAATTTTCTTAAAGATCCAACTGAAAGCTTACAGCCTAATAAACATACTTAATAGACTTTTCTGTTAAAAGATACAGTTGAGGACCTGCCCGCAGCTGAATCAGGAAGGCTCTTGGCTGGACTTTTAAGAGAAAAGCAATGTCATTGGGTTCTTTGAAAATTCCTGACAATTCCGAATTTCACGCAGGAAAATAAAGCACTGGCTCATTCAAAATATTAATACTGTAGATTTATTGAACTTGGGTTCAGGGGTAGCAACGATAACATCTGTGGGGTATACATAATTCAGTTCTTGTAACTCTCTTTCAAATCCTGTGGGTTCTCCATAGTGGGTACAATTTCTTAATACTGGGGAGCCAGACCAAACCATTCGTTATCGGTAGGATTCTCAGTGGGGCACTCCTGACCGTGCAGATTGTGCCACAGCACAGGTGGCATGCCCAATCCCCCTCGGGAGGTGGTTTGTTGTAGGTTGGGTCGGGACGGACCACCTTCTTCCAGCGAGCCCGTCCTCTCGGGAAGACTACCTCCGTCCATTCTAAAGTCTCAGCAATAGCCACTTCCTCTTTCCCTGGTATCTGGTCAGGTAATAGTCCTCCCACCTTAAGATTAGGGAAGTCCTTCAATAGATCACTCACATTCTCTTGGCTTTTGTCTTCTTCTTTCAATGGTTTTTTTATTTCACTTGACAACGATTTCATTCTACAGAGATTTTGCTAGAACAGATTATCCTTGTCAAGCGAGGCACCACTGTATTCTTTTATTGGCTATTTTCCTTTGAGGTTTTTAAAAATGCATTGTGCATTTGTTATCACAGTAACATATGGCGATAATGTGGAGCTTTCCTATAATGGTAGGGAGCTAAATCTTAGGAAAACAGTGTGTGCTTTTCAAATTATCTGAACAATTCAGTAACAAGCTACTTCTTTTGTTTTAGCATATATGGCCATAGACATTAGGAGTTTTATTTTTGTGGGATACACCCAGTGGTAGTCCTGTTAGGACTTCTTACCAAAGTGGACTTGTTAATTATAACAGTTCCATTGAATTGATTTCAGTAGGTCTATTCTAGATAGGAGTAATGTTTGGTGTAGTCCTGTATTTCCTCACACTCTCACTATGACTTATATACATATTCTAGATTTGTATAGTTATTTGGAAGAAGAGCTGGAAGATACAACAGTGCAAGATTTTTTGCAGCATTTATTACAGAGTGAAGTTATCAGCAATAGTATCCTGGAAGACCTTCAAACTGAGGATCTTAAGGAGAAAAGGAAAGCCAGGGACCCACGGATTACCATGGAGCTAAGGCATAAACAGGTGAAAAAAACTTTTAAAACATCTGGAAGAAAGTTGCCTTAAGGTACACTTGTGAAGAGAGAATCCAAGAATCTGACTGTAAATCAGAAGCTTCTAGGTTTGACGACCAGCTGGTTAACCACAGAAACAATTGTCAAAATAGTTAGGATTTTGTTTGTTTCTTTGTTTAAAAATGTTTTGTTTAAGGTTATCGTTTTCTAATAAGGTTATAATTTTCTGATCACTTACACTATTGATATCTAAATGGTTCATGAATTGTCTTTCAAAGCTAATACTGTACTGGTTTTGCATCAGGATCCTTTCGTTTTTCAGTGGATTTTCAAACATATATTTTTCTATATAACCCATATTTTCACATATAAACGAGGCTTTTAGTGCACATGAACCATGAAGAAAATTGCCATTTGCAGGAAAGCACAGATACCATTTGTGTCTTCCACAATTTTTTAATTCTTGAACGCAGCCACCACAACAGGAACAGAAGTAAGACTATAACAAAGGAGTCAGTGTATTCATGCATTTCCTAAGCCTGTGTGAACAGGTTTCTTGGAAAAAGAAGGTAGTTGCTTGCTTGTGTGTGTGTAGTGCCCACAAAGCAACACACGGTGCTTTGTTTCTCAAGGTTCTCTAATAAGATAAAATGATGAATTATGGTTTCTGTCTTGTTTTTGCTTATCAGGTAAAAGAAAATCGGTTGAAACGGCAGAAAGAGCTCGAGCTTCTAAAACAAGAGAAGGCCCTGAAAAAAGCTGCAATGTCAGAAGCTCAGAAGCAACTTCAGGAAGAGAAAAAGAAGAAAGTCCTAAAAGCCAAGAGAGAAGATGAGGAAATCCAAAAGCAGATGGTGAAGTTGAGGAAGGAGCTGATAGACAGAAGACACTTGATGGAAGAAATATGGAAAATGTAAGTTTAGGAGAGCTAGACCAAGAACCATGAACTTGCATTTTGGAATTGCAAGTCCATTTCGGGTCCTGTGGCAAGGTCTAAAAATACCTCATGGAATAAAGTTGTTAAAGCTAAGCTGGTATGGTTTAGATCTAAATCTGGATAGATTAACTGGGGGGATCCTGAGGAAGTAAGGTGGATATTGGTGTAATGCATTTTAGGATTTTGTTCCACCGGTGCTCTGAAACTGTAGTGGCTGGGTAGGATGGTTCCACCCCCGCCCCCATATTTTAAGATTTAGATAACTATTTTTCCTGCCTCCCAAAAATGGTCACCTTGCTTTTTTGAAAAGACTAAGTAGGCAAGAAGATACTATATTGTTGTTGTTTTTACATTTTAGAAATGAAATCAGATGTTAGTACAAATACTGATGCTGAGTGATGTACGCGGTATAGATCTTACGCAGTTCAATTCTGAGATTGAATTTTTCTTCTTTTTATACACTTGTATGAGTCTTCATTAACAACTTCTAGCACAACTGATACCCTGACTCACAACATTTCAGTTTGCAAGTTCCTCTCCATATTTTTACAGCTATTACAATATCAGCTAACATTCCCCCATCAGCATTCAAAATCCACTTAGAAAAATAGTGTGGTGGATTTACACCATTACCCATGTGGCAAGGGAGTAGCCTGGGTAGGTGGGGCTCGTCAGCCTGGGAAGGCAGCCCATCTCGGAGAAGGAAAACTCAGATTTCAAACCTCCACTGCCTTGTGGCTATATCCACTGATAGAAAAGGCTTCAGGAGTAAACCTCAAGGCAAAATCCGGAGCTGGAGACCCAGAGGCAGTTCATGTCGTTCTGACAACTGCTGCGACATCGCTGGAACCAGTTGTATTGGCTCTTGCCTTTCCATTGGACTATTTCAGCAATGTGGAGAGGGGGGATTTGCTGGTTGGGTAACAGCTTATCCTCCATATTATTCTACCCAGGCTTCGTGCTCTGGAGAGGACACTCCAGCTTCGCATACAGCATCAAAGTCCTCCATACAGAGGACGTTACCACACTCTCTCAAGATTGAAGGGTGCCTATGAATGAACTGGCACTACATGTTTTTTCCACCAAATGTGGTAGCAAGAGAGAGAGAGAAGAGAGAACATAGCAAAGATTGGAGGAGAGGGCCCAGCAAGCAATCAAAGCAGAGGAGATATAATGGAAAAATGAGAAGACAGAGGATGTCAGAGAACACCCAGAAAACAAGCAAAAGGAAGGGAGGTGTGAGGAAGAAGTGAAGACAGCAGAAGTTTTATTTATAAGGCATGAATATTCTCTGGTGACCAAAATTCTGATTTAACATTGAGCCTAATCCAAAATTGAACACTATGCTTTACAATGGTTAACATGGAGCCAGTCAAGTTGTTAGTATTTGGAGGGGGGGGTCTGCTGTACTCCTTTGAGGTCATGGTGTAGGTAAACTGCCCAGACATGTTTGGTTGAGTTACTGGCTCACAGTTACACAAGAAGACCATCACAGTACTCTGTGCTTCTAATTACATATGAATTTTCTTATTTTCAGGGGGAAAAAGAAACACAATTTTAAAAAAGTACGGAAGCTAGTAGGATTTGGCCTGCCTCCTAATGTGTCAGCTCATTTGGATTGTGAAAAAGAAGAACAAAGGAAGGAGAAACAAATTAAAATACAGGAGTTCCTTAACAAGGTTGAGATTGCAAATCGGCAGGTGAGAATGTCCATTTGATTTATTGTAAATGAGCAAGTATGCAAATTAGTGCTGCCTGATCATTCTCACTCCAAGTGGTTAACAAACCACAAACCTTCAAACAATGATTGGTGGTAGTGGGTACCTTTAAAGCAGAAAGTCAGGACTGAAGCTTTATTGTTTCACAGCAAAAAATTGAAGTAAAATAAAATAATATAAATCAGATAACAGACCATCCTGCCTGTGACATCTACCAATGTAAGACTAAACCCATTACACATACTGAGATGTTTTTACCCAAATATATATTAGTTGGACTGGATTTGTTTAAAGATTATGTAACTGTAAATAAAACTGCTACATATTTGAAGATGCTGACACTACCAAATACTCTTGTATCTTTTCACCTCTTCTAAACAATGCACTGTATACAGAACCGGGTTTATGTGGTAGGGTCAGCAGGCATTAGGTACAGAAGGAAGAACAATGTGCTGACATTTTGAGTAAGGAGAAGGGATTATCTGTATTTCTGTGCTTTAGGCTGTCATTTCAACCATATCTTTATACAGTGGTGCCTCGCTTAACAATTACCTTGTTTAACGACGAAAGCGCTATATGATGACTGTTCTGCGATTGCTTTTAATAGGCAAAATTCACTTTCCTATGATTGGTTCCCTGCTTCGGGAACCAATTCTTCGTTAGATGACGTTTTTAAAACAGCTGATCGGCGGCTTCAAAATGGCCGCCCGCTGTGTGAAATGGTTGCCCACTGTGTTTTTGGATGGATTCCTTGCTTTACAGGCACCAAAAATGGCTGCCCCTATGGAGGATCTTCGCTAGACGGTGGGGTTTCAATGCATTTCAATGGGATTCTTTATTTCGCTTAACAAGGATTTCGCTCTACAGCAATTTTGCTGGAACGGATTATCCTCGTTAAGCGAGGCACGACTGTACCTTAATATGAAGGGTTTCCCCCCTCTCTTTTGGCAATGTGAGAGTTATCAGAGCAGTGGATATTATAGAATACAGTTAAGTTGATTTCATTAATCTCCGAATACAGTGCCTACAGAAATATTTCTCTGCCTGGTACAAACTTGTTCTGGATCTCAGGATTAAGATGGGAAAAGCAAGGGCTCTTGCTGACTGGAAGTGTCAATTGAGGACCTTGCGAGCTTGGAGAGATTACACATGGTCTCAGAAAATGGAGCAGGAAGCTCAAAAAATGGAGAACTAGCTTCGAGATCAGAACAGGTAGCAATGTTTAACACCGTTTCATCACAGATAACTTGACAGTTTGGGGAAAGTATCTAATGCTGTTTCAAGGGACAGTTTTAGCCTTGAAAATGTTTATACCTGATGCAGAAAAGTAAAATGACATATTCATTTTCCTTTAACTATATCTTTTTGTATGAAAGGGAACATACAAGGAGAACATGCAGTAGAGGCAGTACAGTGGCATTGTCAGTTTGATATGCTAGAAACCATTGGCTACTGAATACATAAAAGGTAATGAAATTTAAATTTTCATACCACTGGTGATAGATTTCCCTTCTGCTCAGAAAAGGAATAGTAATAGTAATTTATAATAGATAACCTTAGAACTGCAGAGCTGAATAAGGTCTGCGATTCTAAGATCAATGTCAGAATCTAGACAGGAATCATCAACTCAGCACCTCTCAAGGAGGCACAGTGGGGAATCGAACTCCCAACCTCTGGCTCTATAATCAGACACTATTTCAAAAGCCTGAATATAAACCTGTATTCACTCAAATACGTTCCAAACAATTAAGTACTTCTGAAATTCATGCTGAAATTCCAAGCCAGATCTGAGTGGAAGAAAAATGATTCTAAACTACAGAACCTGTAACTAATTTGAAATACCATTTTTCTTTTTAGGAAAAAACAGCTGGCGACCGAATTTAATCGAAAATGCACTTTGCGCCATTTTTTTGCTGAATGGCAAAGCTGGAGCCGAACAGAAGCAGAAAAAAGAGACATCGAGTTGAAAAAGGAGAAAACAAAGAGGAAAATGGCAACTTTGCTAGAGGAAGTTATGCTGGGGAAAACTGCTGCAGAAAGCTCATGGAATGCTGAGAGACTTGGAAAAAAAGAGGAATCCCAGGGCCAGCCTTTGAAGCATTCAGAGGTAAAATATCTTTTCCTGTGGCTTATATTTTGCTTTTCGTGTGCATGCACAAGGACACACGAATTATAAATATTTGTGATTTTTATAGATATTTGTAACTATACAAATATCTATAAACTATACAAATATCTATAAACTATGCAAATATCTATAAAAATCACAAATATTTATAATTCCTTACAAAGGAAGATTTCAAAGCAATGAAAAACAATAGCATGTGATATAAAACAATATCTAAAGTCAAGATACAGTATTTACATTATCCAGAAAAAAAGATGGTAGAGTGGCCCACACTGAGAAGACTTGCAAAAGATAAGTGTTCCACATGCATCTGAAAATGAAAAATACAGTGGGTAGGTCTGAAAACTAAAGACAATTGTGGCATCACTATGAGGAACAAATGATCTCTATGATGGAATGAGTCAGTAAGAAAGAGAGATCTCGGGTAACTTTATTTAGTATCGTTTATAGGCTGCGTTTCTCCTGATGAGGAGACTCAAGGCACTGTGTTAAAACAAGTAGAATTAAAAACACAATAGATTATATATTAAAAAGAAATTAAACAATTATAATAATTAATAATACATTAAATGATTTAAAATATTTAAAATTTTAAAAACCAAATTTACTAAGCTAAAAGCCAGCATGCAGGATTCAGTTATCAAAAGCCTGTCTCACTGGGAAGACAGACTGATTTCCTCTCTGTCACCTTTCTCACAGAAGAGCATGAATTGTACCCTGCTTATTCATATCCTGGCATGATGTTACACATGCACAAAACAAGAGAGTAGAACCAATTAGCTGTTCAGCAACACTATTTGATAATTATTTTTATGATTAGAGTTTCTGCTTCCTTTGCAGGTAGCTGAAATACCTCTTTTACACGGTGAGCCTCCAAGTGCAAAACATAAAACATTAAATTCTGGCTTTTCAGAGACAAATCAGAAATGTAGTCATCATTTTCCAAAGAAGCCCAAATGGGCATGGCAGGTCACCCAGAAGCATGCTGCTCTGAATGCCCAGGACCGTGCTATGTTTGGCAATCAGATGAGAAATTCCTTGCAACATCTTGGAATGGCAAGACAAAAAATGGCCCCTGCATTCTGCAGTTCCATGGAGCACTGCCATGACTTCCAGCAGCAGCTGATTGAAAAACAAAGACAACAACTTCAAGAGCAGCAACAACTGATCCTTAAACTTCAGGAAAATGTGAGGTTAAAAATGGGTAGAGAAGAGACTGAGGAAGTCACAGCTGATACCCTGACACTTAACAACCATACTGCAAAAGCTAGGGAAAGAAAAGAGTCAAATTTAAAGAACACAGAGCTTTTAAGGTATAGTGATAACACAAGTGTCCCATTTACCACTGGCTCCACATTGTGCTGTTGAACATACTGAATTCAAGGGGACACAATGCTGTTTTTAACCATACTTGATAGTCCATTACAGGTTCAGGACTCCTAATGTGATGTGAAGTAATCACTCATTTTGTTTTACATTCTTTGCATAGGTTAATTGCATTATTTTTAGCAATTAATTGGCAATAAAAGATAATGGACTACCATATTATAATGTATTGATAACAGATTCCTTTCAACGAGCCTTTACAAATTATGGGGCATATACAATTTTTAGCCAGAGCCCTTTTTATTGTACATTTCTGCTTCAGATTGTGACATGAGATGCAGGTCTTCCAATTTCAAACTACAGTGGTGCCTCGCACAACGATTGCTTCATACAACGATGAATTCACACAGCGATGGGTTTTTTTGAGGAATTTTCCCCATCATTTAACGATGTTCTCTATGGGGGAATTTCACTTAACGATGTCCCTTTTTGCTCATTTAAAAGTGTCTTAAAATGTTTGAATCCTATTTTAAATGCTTGGATTCCATAGTGCACCTTGTGAAACATGTGCAAACTTAATTTGGTTTTGTTCTGAGTCTTCATTAATTTTTGGTGATTTTTTAATTTTCCCCATTTAAATCAATTGAATGGACAGTTCAATGCATTTAAATAGGGAAAACAAAAAATCACAAAAAATTAGGCGGCAGTGGAGGGGATGAGGGGGTGCTTCGGGGACCGCGGGGAGGCAGGGCAAGGCCCAGGTGTTCCAGCGGCCCTCCTCCCACCGGCAGCGGCGGCGGCGGCGACTGGGGTGAGGGGTGCTTCGGGGACAGCGGGGAGGCAGGGCAAGGTCCGGGTGTTCCGGTGGCTCTCCTCCCGAGCCCTCGCTTGTCTCCCGGGCTGGCTAGCTGGCTGGTTGGCAGTGCTTTACTATGATCGGTTCCCTGCTTGGGGAACTGATCACGGTAAAGCAATGCTTTTTTAACAGCTGATGGGCGGTTCCAAAATGGCCGCCGCTGTTTTCTGGATGGATTCCTTGCTTACCGAGGCGGCGAAAATGGCCGCCCCTATGGAGGATTTTCACTGAACGGTGAGTTTTTGCCCCATAGGAACGCATTAAACAGGATTTAATGCGTTTCTGTGGGTTTTTTTGTTCCGTTTAGCGATGTTTTCGGATAGCGACGTTAATCCTGGAACGGATTAACGTCGCTATGCGGGGCACCACTGTACAATTTTTAGCCAGAGCCCTTTTTATTTTACATTTCTGCTTCAGATTGTGACATGAGATGCAGGTCTTCCAATTTCAAACTATTTTTGATTCTTTGATAGAGCATCTCTATCTCTGTACATGGAGTTACTATACAAATGAACTACCTTAATGGATATATATATATATATTAGTTTTTACATGCACAAAAAGCGTGAATCCCTGTTTTTATTTTATTTTTTTGCTGAACTAAAATAAGCAGGCCTCTTGGGTAATAAAATGGCAATAGTTATTGTAGGAGACAAAAAAGAAAACTAATAATCTTTTTTCTAATGTATATATTAATTTTTATTTAGTTATTTGTCTTATTTATAGGTTGCCTTTCTCCCGATAAGGGGATTCAAGGTGACTCACAATGTTAAAAAAGTAAAATTATAAACACAATAAATTATACATTTAAAAACAATAATACTAATTAAATGAATGATTTAAAAACATTAAAAATTTTAAAACTCAACTAAAAATCACATTCAGGAACTCAGTTATGATTGTTAAAAGCCTGCCTGAAGAGGTAGGTCTTCAACTGTTGAGGGAAGAATAAAAAGGGGGCCAATCTAACCTCCCAAGGGAAAGCATTCCACAATTTGGGAGCTGCCGCAGAGAAGGCCTTTACTCATGTTCCCATCAAAAGTGCTTCTGTTGGCAATGGGACCAAGAGGAGGGCCTTCTCTGATGATCTGAAGAGCCTTGACCCAAGCCGTATAGGGTTTTATAAGTAACAATCAGCACTTTGAACTGGGCCTGGAAAGGGGCCCAGTCTCCAATATCTATGATGATACCAAGTCCTGACTCTGTTACAAGTCTGAAAATAAGACACTACTTCACAGGTACAGAGCAAAAACTGTTCAGCATTCAGTTACTGACCCTAAAGGCTTAAGCAGTGGCTGGGATAGTGTTCTTTGGCAGTGAATATTGAAAAAATCCAAAGAGTTGACAAAGAATAAAATCTCAGTCACACTTTTCTTCATAACTAGCAAAAATGGAATAACTTACTCTGAAAATATGTCAGAAAAAATGAGGAAGAAATTATTGGTGTTGATGTAAGGGTTGTGTAACATGCTACAACTAATTGTTGCTAATTGACAAGCTGCCTGGACACATCTTGGTTTGGGATGCTGTACACTAATTATATTGATTACACTAATTTAATCCAATAAATTGGATTAAAATTTATTCTAAAATTATCTTTTTTAGAATCTTTGGTGTCTTAAGAAACATTACTGGATTCACTTGTGCTTCTCCCCTAGAGAAGCAGAAAGCTGTCATTAACACTGGTTTCTATCCAATATTGTATTTGCTGTAAAATAAGACATTTTTACTTAGATCAGCACTTTTTCCCACCCCATACACCTACCACCATCCTCCATACTCTACTCATAGGATCTCCCAATGCTTGGAAGCCCTGAGGAGGCAGAAAGGTGTATGTGATTAGGAAGGGCTGCTGAAAAGTAGGTGTTCAATTACATATGCCAAAGTATTTTCCAGAAAGGTAATATCTGTATTGGATAAAATCTACTGCTTCCACTGACTATTGAATTGAATATCTGTTGTTAATTTTCTTAAGATCAGAAATAAGTAGTGTTTATGGTTCGATGTTTTGTATATGTAGATAATCTTCTGTCTGTTTCAGATACAGGCTTTCTAGACTGTTGATCCAGCCTCACTTCCACCATTATTACCACCACCATCCATTTCCAGGCACAATTCAAAGTGCAGGTTTTAACCTATAAAGCCCTAAACATCTTGAGCCTAAGCTATCTCAAGGACTGCATCTCTCTTTATGAGTCTGCCTGGGTGTTACGATCATCAAGGGGGGGGGCTTTCTTTCTTTCAGTTCCACCACCTTCACTGGTGTATTTGGTAGGAACATGGGAGAGGGCCTTCCATGTCACTGCTCACAGGCTTTAGAACTCCCTCTCATGGAAGACCAGGCTGACCCCATCTTTGCTGTGCTTCCACAAGTAGAGAAAGACCTTTCTCTTCAGGCAGGCTTAATGACTGGCTTTCTAAGAGGAGTTTTTCAATGGATTGGTGTGCCTTGCAGCTTTTAAAGGTGTTTTTAGTATTGATTTTATTTACAATTTTTAATACAGTGGTGCCCCGCATGATGACGATAATCCATTCCGGGAAAATCGCTAAGCGAAATTGTCGTCATGCAAAAAGCCTTTCCCCATTGGAATGCACTGAAACCCATTTAATGCGTTCCAATGCGGAAATTACCTCATCGTCCAGCGAAGATCGCCCATAGGGAAGCCATTTTCCGAGCGCCGATCAGCTGTTAAAATGGCTGCCCTGCGAAGCATGGGTCCCGAAAACACAGGGCAGTCCGCAAAGCAAGGACCTAATCGTTGTGCCCTGCGAAGCATGGGTCCCGAAAACACGGGGCAGTCCGCAAAGCACGGACCTAATCGTTGTCAAGCACAATTCCCCCATAGGAATGACTGATTTGCGAATCGCTATAGCGATTGCGATTTGCGAATCGCTATAGCGATTGCAAAAGTCATCATCATGCAGTTTCGTCATACAGCGGGGTCATCGTCTAGTGAGGTACCACTGTATAATATTTCGCCTTCGTGAATACGTTGATTTGCGAATCACTATAGCGATCGCAAAAGTCATCATCATGCAGTTTCATTGTACAACGGGGCCATCGTCTAGTGAGGTACCACTGTATAATATTTCGCCTTCGTGAATACGTTGTATAATATTTGTTTAATTCTTTTTTAATATTTGTGTACTTACTGTTTTTGGCTTTTAAATCTTTTTAATGATATAAGTCACCTTGGGTTCCTTTTAAGGAGAAAGGTGAGGAAAACATTTTAAATAAATAAATTTTATTTCAGGTCAGAAAATCGACAGTCAGCTGCCCCAAATCGGAAAAACCTGAAAGTGGTATCTGCACCACATCCATTACTTAAAGGTATATTCTTTGATCTGATGGAGTCTGTTACTAGCATGCTTGGGACAAACTTAAGTAAAACATCAGATATGTTATAAAACAAGTGGAGTCAAAAATTGATCAAGCACCAACAGAACCTGAGTAAGGTTTCAACACCCCAAATGTTTGATATAGCTGAGCACTTTATCTTAATGTATCCGAGTATCTTTCCACCCAGGCATGACAGATTCATTTATTGGTTGTGGCCTGTTGTTGGACTTTGCTGAGGACAAGCTTAGGTCACCATCATTGTGACAACACAAGAAACTCACTGTTTAACTGACCTCTAGTTATTGCTGTATTTTCATCAACCATAGAAGGATTAGGGTAAGAAGCAGTAGTAAATTGCAGCCTAAAGATAAATATAAGTCCTGTGCCTTTCACTTAATGAGTCACAATAGTATGTATGTATATAAACATCTTCATAGTAATAAATATTTACATTTTAAATTAATTTCCTACTTTGTAAAATTAAGATATCTTGCTGTAAAATTCTCTATATCAAACCAGCTGAAAAGCTGTTTGGCTTTCTCAATGGAGAAGAAACTGTCTTAGGATGTGCAATAATACTTTTGTTAACTCAACCAAAAGGGCACAAATACATATGCAGACTTTCAAGGTCTCTATATCACTTATTCGGGCAACAAGGTACAAGTGTGTGTGTGTGTGTGTATGT